GGGGGGGTGGGGGGGTTGTGGGGGGGGTCATTATTCTCCCTACGCAGATATGTGGTTGCAACAAATAAGACAAACCCCCCACCTTTCCACACACCATTGACCCGGACCCCGTACGTTTGTGATGCAAATGTTTTTGTCTTCTGTCGTGCTCGACTGTCTTACCTGCTGCAGGGTAGGAGACGCCGACGTAGAAAGGGCGGGAAAACGCCGAGGACGCCGAGGAGTGCGCGAAGCGGAAAGAGCCAAAGGAATGCCAAGAGTCCTAAAAGACCCCGCAGCGCAAAGAGCGCCACAAGTGCCAAGAGCGCCAAGAGCGCCAAGAGCGCCAAGAGTGGCAAGAGTCGCAAGAGTCGCAAGAGTCGCAAGAGTGCCAGGGCCTCGAAATCGCCCAAGACACCACAAACCACGAAAACCCCAAGGACTCCTGGAACAGCCCAATCTGGTGGCGTCAACACCCCACAGACTCCCGCTCAGGGAACCCCCCAAAGCGAGAAGCGCCCGAGTACATCTCAACCACCCCCCAACCCCTCTGACACAATAGCAACACCCACAAGCCTGAATCCTTCCAGCGCCTCCAAGACCGACACCCCAGCTAGCTAGGGCACATTCCTATTCTCTTATCACCCCTTTTTGTTCCGCATTACTTTTCCTCAATTCCCCATTTTGTCCCCCATTTCCTCTCTTCAACGCCCCATTTTGTCACTGGGGAAGGGCTAAAATAACCTTTCACTCTTACCCCCACCCTCCTCTTTCTCCTCTTTCTTACCCCCACCCTCCTCAATTCCCAATTTTATCCCCCATTCCTCTCTTCAACGCCCCATTTCGTCACTGGGGAAGGGCCAGAATAGCCTTTCACTCTTACCCCCACCCTCTCCTCTTTCTTACCCCCACCCTCCTCTTTCTCCTCTTATCTCTCTCTCTCTCTCTCTCTCTCTCTCTCTCTCTCTCTCTCTCTCTCTCTCTCACACACACACATATGGATGCACTATATTTTCAGCCAGCCCAGGCACGCGGCTATAGGAAATTGCGGGGCTGCCATCAACAACAAGATATAGTGATGCCTACTTGAATCTCGATCGTCATGCCGAAGATTCAGCAAACAGACTCCTCTCTTCCTTGTCTTCACTATGAACATCCTCCCTCCCCATGCGCAGAATAGTCCACGCCCAGAAGACGTTCTAATCCAACCAGCGGGCTTATCAGAACAAACGACACTCAATCTCGCTACACTACCTTTTCAACCAGCCCAACCACGCGGCTATAGGAAATTGCAGGGCTGCCATCAACAACAAGATGTAATGATGCCTGCTTGAATCTCGATCGTAATGGCGAGATTCAGCGAACAGAATCCTCTTCATTGTCTTTACCACGAACATCCCCATGCACAGACTGGTCCAGGCCCATACAATCCAGTACAACCAGCTCATTAGGACGAAGGACAGAATGCTCACAGAGACGCCAACGAAGGCGTACCCAGTATAGGCCACGAGATCGAGCATGGGGGCTTCTCCAGACCCCAAAGCGTACAAAAACCCCCTCATTAAAACCCACTGAACCCCCCACGCAATCAGCCCCCTAGTGAACTGGGTACCCAACACCTCCGGCGTGAATCTGTGGTCCAATCCGGCGGCGATTCCGCACAGCACTACGTACGTTCCAAACCCCATCAAAGGCACATAAAGGTCGGGGGCATTGATGTCATAACGGGGGGGTTTGTACACAAGCCGGCCGTTCGCCACGTGTTCCGTTATCCTTGTCCAATGCCCTCTGTGAAAGAATGGAAACAGGAGTAATTTCAACTTATTCCTGACGTACTGATCGTTCACTTGGAAGTAGTATTGAACGTCATGACCGGTGAAATAGCGGCTGATATTGCTCTGAACGTAGCTGCGCCCAGAGCCGAGTATCTTTTCTCCATAAGCACCGAGTCCACTGCGGACGAACCCCGCGCCCGCGCCATAAAGCACGTCGTTCAATGCATCTGCTGAACTGCCTGCGCCACCAACATTGCCCGCAGGCATGCCCATGCCAACACCACCACCACCACCACTCCCCATCGGGCTTCTACCTGGTTGAGGCGGACCACCCCTAAATGTATCGTACCCGCCTCCTGGGCCCATATACATAGGGTTTGTGTTAGCATTAGGATTCATCTTTTTTCTCCCTCTCCCTCTCTCTCTCTCTCTCTCTCTCTCTCTCTCTCTCTCTCTCTCTCTCCCTCTCTCTCTCTCTCTCTCTCTCACACACACACACACACACACACACTCCTTCCTGGTTAATGTATACCTGCGATCCCCTGCACTCGCCGCACAGCTGGTCGCGTTCTCCTCTCTATCCTCCTGCCAAAAACAACCAACAAAACACAGAAGGCAGCCGTGGGAATCAACTGGAAAAGAATGTCGTAAAGCGGATCGAGTGAGAGGCAGAAATAAAAAAGAACGGGTGAACGGAATGGGCTCTCTCTCTCTCTCTCTCTCTCTCTCTCTCTCTCTCTCTCTCTCTCTCT